CACATTGTATATTTTTAAAATTTTTAATATTTAGTTTATATAATATGAATGTTGCTAACCCGATCAACATGTCATACAGTTTTACCGTAATGCATTTCTGCAAATTCGAATTTTGTCGCCAGTGAGATTTGAACTCTTGTCCTGCTGCTTGGAAGTGTGACAACTTACCAACTACACTAAGTCACCACACCCTGTAATGAAGAAATTTTCACTATACATATTAATAAAAAAGATAATGAAATACTAGCCACCTACTATTTGAAGTTTGAAAGATCCTCCAAGACTTTAAAGAAATTTTTTCTGAAAACCTACCAGACTATCTGCCTTCAGAACAAAATATCGACCATGCCATTGACCTTGTACTAGAGTCAGAACTTCCATTTTACCCTATAGTTAAATTAAAATTAATTACAAATTTTCTAAATTTTTTAATAAAAAATAAAAAATAAAATTTACTACCTCTAAATATAATTGGTTGTTATATTTAAGGTTGCTATGATAATAAGTCTTTATAAAAATTTTCATAAAATAATATAAAATATAATAATTTTAATTTTTTTGTATTAATTTTGACTTTATTAAAATTTTTTTATTAAAATATATATTTTAGTAATAAAATTCAAAATAAATTAGTAGATTAAAAGTTATAGCTATTCTAAAAGTTAATCTATTTAATTATTATAAAATTAAATAAATATAAAAATAAATATTAGTGCAATCAATTTATAAAACAAATTAGCTGTTTGATAGAGCAATATTACTAAATAAGTTTTTATTAGTCTAGATAATAATATATATATATATATATAAGTTTTTAATACTGTTTAATAATTAAAATAAAAACAGAACTATCAAAAAAATAATCTTTTAATCAGCATCTTTATACTATAAAAATGCCATTTTTAATATCTATTTTGGTATGTTCTCTAACTAAACTACCCAAAAAATACTTTAAAAACTCTGCAACTTAGCCAATCAGATTGCAAGATCATGTGTAATATAAAAAAAAAACAAAATTTAAAACAATCTAAATAAAAGATTTAAAGCAATAGAACCCAAACTTTATGGTTAGAGTTAGGGTAGATAGGGCATAGTAGTACTAAAATTTGATAAGAAATTTGGATTATTAGAACGTGAAAACCGCTTTTATAGGCAAGGTTTTGAGCTACAAACAATTTTTCAAAAAGGTGCATACTTTTCACGTTACATCTGATCTTGCAATTTGTTTGGCAGCGCAAAATTTTTCGGGGTGTTCTTGGGGCAGTTGATGTTATAGTTAGCAACATTCATATTATATAAACTAAATATTAAAAATTTTAAAAATATACAATGTGAGAACATACCATGTTAATAGATATTAATTACCGTAAATGGCTGGATAAAAGATCCCCCACAACATCAGATCCACTATGTACTATACCCGGATGCGAATTACGGAATCTGCATTAATAAAATATAGTTTTTTTTCAATATCCAATCTGCCCGTTAGAAATGAAAATATGCATTCTTTAAAATTCTCCTTTTAATGATATAAACTCTCAACCGTGCACTATACCCGGGAACTAATCATAGGTTTTAAAATCGGTGGAATGTATTGTAAGAGACCCGAGTCTTTTATCCGGCCATTTACGATATTTTTTTGAATAAACAACGACCTGAATAATTGATTTTTAGTAATTTATGATACAGAATGCAGAATTAACGAATAATACATGAAAACTTTTAAAATTAAAATAATTAATTATCTACTATATTTTTAAAGTTGAAAAGTTGTATATTGTAATTTGTATAGGTTATGTGAAAACAAAGCCATGTTTTTTTTCATTTGTTATAACATATTCTTCGTCAAATTCTTTCATAGAATTTATAGTGTCTGTTCTTTGGAAGATATGACCTTCATTGCGTTCTTTTTTGTACCGCACTCTAAGAAAATAAATTCCGACAAAAATTGGAATCAAAACTACAGCACATCCGCCCGCAATGATTTCAATAAGAACTAAGACACTTATTTTTGAAGAATTTTCTGTAATTATGGGAAGAATTAAAAGTATAATTTCTATCAGCATTAGAAGAAAGTTTATGTAACTCGGTAAAACAATAATAATAAATAATAAATTGATTACCTTGTGAATTTTTGTCTTTTGAAATGATAAAATCACCGGAAATGCCTTCACTTGTACCACTAGTTATGGACAAAAAATAAATGCCTTCTGGTACTGAAACATTCCATATTTTACTTGAAGATTGAATATCTAAGTCATCATCGATTACAGTACTATCGCCGGTGGATCTATTTTGGATTTTTAACAAAGAAGGTCGTGTCGGTGGTTGCCCATAAAACTGTGGCTGACCATAAAACTGCCAACTAATTTTAATTAAACTTCCGATGTATATGTTTCCGGTAGGAGTGTCGATATTTATATTACCTGATTAAAAGAATGTTTGTGGTCAACAATAAACAAAATTGGATCACGATTAGATCATATTAATACATTATGTTACCAATTTTATTAAACAATTTACCGGAAAACACCAAAGCAACATATACGGTAAGAAGCGAAAAGATTAAGAGACTATTTTTAATGAAACAGGGCATTTTTCAAAGAAAAAGATCTCAAGAACAAGTTATTAGAATAAATTACATTGCGTAAAAAAAAATAGATATATATATTTAGAACATTAATGTTTCAGGGATTTTCATTGTAATACATGGTCCTTGAGCTTTCCATCAATGAATTTTCAGCCCTGAATTAAGAAGGAAATAATAAAGTTAATAGAATTAATTATTATGCATGATGTGCATGATCTTTGGAAATCCAAAACCAGAAATTCTAATTACTTTGCTCTATTCAGCAGTTCATAACGATTGCGACGTGAAATGTCGAGCAATTCGTAATCTTACGTGTATCAGAGGGATCCGATTTGTTTGTTTACAATTCTCATAGTAATTTTTATTACGAAAATTAAAATAGTAAAAATCGACGGATATCCGGATTCCAATATAGCGATATCTCCTTTTTTATTTTAAGTAATACGTTATTTTTGCATGTGATAATAGACATTTGATACCATTTTGGGAGTATTATTTCATTAATGTGAGCATGAGTGCTTAGAGATAACATGCCCGGTATAATTAAATTTCATATTTGGGCCTTTTATGAAATGCCAAGCTAGTACGTACGTATGTATAGATATATAGAATTATTATTTATGTAGTTATTTCATATTACAGTATTAGGATTATGGAAATGTGCGTTCGAAAGTCAGTGATTAACGGTATATCATGTTATGATACTGTATCGCAATGTTGCCATTTTAGGGGGATGCTTAAAGCCTGGTACATCACGAAATTACTATCGCTATTGACTTGAAGATTAGAGCCTGTATAGGTCAAGTTTAGAAGAGTACGATGTGTAAATCTAAATCGGTTCTACCGAAAAATCACGACATCCAATATCTTGAAAACCATAATCCTGACATGACAATCGTTGTCAGAATTTAAATTTTTAATTGTCACGTCGCGTGATGTCAGTATCATGGCCTGTCGAAATTTTGGATGTCGGGATTTTGCGGTAGAACTGTGTAAATCGTCCTCCTGACATTTTTACTTAATGCATCA